AAAAAAAAAATGGTGATTAAAGCCAAAAGATGAAACTAACTCTCTACCATTATGCCCTTATTCTTGGATGTTTTAGTTATTTTTCATTTCTTAAGGATTCTTTTTAATGCTTTTACTTATCTTTGGGGACTACGATGGATTCAGGTTATGTTTTGTAACCAAATAAGCTAGCTTATACCTTATTTGATTAGCTTATAAGCTTCCTGTATTTAAATAAGCTTCGTTTGGTAGGACAAACTTTTTAAAAAAGCTCGAGCTTATCTCATAAGATTCTTTGGGTAGCATTTCAAATAAGCTCGTTGAAAATTTTATTTCAACTAACTTATTAGCTAATTTTACCAAACACTTATATTAATAAGTTGTTTTTTAAACTATAAGTCATAGGTTATAAGCTTTAAGCTAAAGAATCACTTATAAGCATTAAGCTAGCATATCAGGTTTTACCAAACATAGCCTCAGTGTGCCTCTAATTAAATTGAGCACAAAAACTAAATCATACTGACCTTATTCTTGGAGCTTTTATCCAATTTCGTGACGTGAGCTTTCCCGATGTTGAAGATTCCACGGCCGCCCTTCATGCCAGGACCACCGACACCAATCCCACTTCTCTTTCCAATGTAATACATACCTAGTAAAAGCAATAATGTAGGACCATACTTCATGAGTTCTTTGAAAAAATTCAGCTCAGAGACATAAGTGACCGGGATATGATCATGAGGGTCAACTCCTAATGCTTCCTGGACTTCCTCCAGCTTCTCCTCAAATGATTCCACACTTCCAATGTTGATATAGTATTTATAATGGCTAGGGCTACTTTTGTCATTCGTTTGACCGACTGGATCCTGAATGGTGTCCACTACGGTTGAGTTGCCGTTAGGTTGTGAATTCTTTATGTATACCTTTGCAACTGACTTGTTCGAAACAACTATGTGATCCACCATGCCAGGTTCGAGTAGCTTGGTCTTGAATTCTTGGAAACTTATCTGAAATACAAGTAAAGATCTAATCAAGCATTCCAAAAGGAAACAAAACAAACAAAAAAGAAAAAGGACACTAATATGAATAATGATGAATGCATAATAAAATCAAATCCAGCTGTGCATGTTGCTATCTTACTTTCCCCATTACCGAATTTGACATCTCTTTGTTTAAAATGCAGTGTATTGTGCACCGCAACACCCATCTGTAATGTGAGTGAGGCAATTACAAATGAAAGTAGTACTGGACTTCGATACTTAAAAAGATAGGGGGAAAAACAGATGGAACCAAAAAAGAAGAAAATAATAAAAGGGAACGGCACTAAAACTGAAACATATGACCTTATGAATTGACAGACAATAACAATAAAATCTCTCCAAACAACAATAGCTAAACCTGTCTCATGGTTCATTATGTGTTAATATGGTACATAGACAAAAGGGATTCACTTGAATCACAAAAATGTTTCCATGAAGTTATTTCTCCTCGAGTCTTTGTGCAATCAATACGTGTGGGTAAGTGCTAAATTCGAAACTCTGAGAGAAACTATGGAAAACAGGACATTGCTTGCGGACGGTAGGTTATTGTTTCAGAATGTGGATAGTATCATTAAGAAACTTACCGGCTTCACGTCATTAGGATGACTCAACATGAATAAAAGCCCCCCGAGCGCAACCAACAATGGGATAGCAAACAAATTTTGAAATTTCCTCGACGTTTCTGGATTGTTCCATTGCTCACCTGCTCCTGAGTCCTCTGGTTTCAGAAAGATCACAATAAAAAGAAAAAAGAACAGAAACATTTCAGCAAATAATGATTTTTATCATCCATTCATGGCAGAAAGGATATCGAACTAAAGCTTAACTAAGACACTATAGCCTCTGTCATTAAGTACCCCAAGAAATGAAGCATTTCAGTATGAAAGATGGCAAAAGCCCCATTACCTTTGGCCCCCGACTTCTGATTATTCTCCTTCGGAATTTCAGACTTGTTCTTCGGATAGTAGTTTTCGTATTCTACAAGACAAGAAATAGAATCACCAAATCAAACCTCCAAAACCACAACATCTCGGATATCACAACAAGAATGGACAAGACAAAAATGCAATCTTTCTTTACTCTTTTTCTTTGGGGCCTCACTGCAGAACGTTCTCCGCAGGCCAGCGTTTCTGAACACCGACTTGAATTCCTGTAACAAATCACTCCTCGAGACGTGCTTACCAGCTCCAATTGACGTCAGGTAGCTCCTCACTAACCCTAGCCCACCGATTTCGGCCGCATTTCCCGACGAAAGCTCCGTCAGGGCCGACGACCGCAGCCCGTAACTGCCCGACAAAGCGCCCTAACAGAACAAATCAAATAAAACAACACCATGAAAACGTCACCATTACCTGCAAATCTTGATAAACGCAAGCGAATAACGAGGAATTATCATTTTTTTTTTTTACTTTATTCATCGACGCGCGCGATGAGCGATACGCCGACCGTCCGATTCGAGACAACATGATTTATTTTTTTTTCCGTTTGAGATCAGCGCATGGAATTTCTGCTCAATTGAACCTTTTTTCGTCGTCGTCGTGTTTGTGCCGAGAGCCTGAGACAGCTTATACAGAGAGCGCTCTAAGTTTCAGACCTTACGACGTCGTTTTGGCCGGAGTTGCTGGTTTTCTTTTCGTGGCCCTCAAGTTTCGAAGATAGGGGGCGACCAACAAGAGAAGAGAATGACTGGTGAGATTACGTTTTTACCCTTGGTGGGCTGGTTACGTTGTGGGTTCTTTTAGATGTGACTTTTTGGTATTTGGGCTATTGAGTTTGTGATTGGTGGATTATCACCACTACTCAGATGTGGGGTCCAGTTTACGGCTATGCTTGGGCTTCTGGATTTGGTCTAATACTTGGTAGTGGGCCAAGATGTTGAGGTTCACTTTCAATTTTGAATTCATTTGGCCCAAATCTGAGGTCGGGGATTAGGATTTAGAGGTGGACTGGCGTTTGAAAAACCGAGCCGAACCATGCAATTCGATGTGGTGCAGTTTATTAAGTGTAGAAAAATGTTCGATTTTTTACTACACTACAGTAAGTTGAATTATTATTTTCACGAGTTTAATTTGTTAGATAAAACATGTTGAAATACACAAGAATCTTACAGACTGAAGTATATTTTTCAATTCTTATAATTAAATTTAAAACAAAAAAATAGAATAGAACATAAAATAAATTATAGTTTGAAAAACGAAAAGGTTATAGTCGAGGCAAGCAAACTCTTTCTGCAAGACGAATATGCCCCGTGTAGTGATGATTGTTTCAAGTGTATCGTCCCCAAGGAAACTTCTCGAGGATTGTAGCACACCAGTCTTACGAGCTTCGACGAACTAGAACCGAATTGAGAACTAAGCACTTAAAAATAGAATGATTTCTATATGGCTAATAAAATTATGTCTTTTTTTTCTTCTATTTTGCAATTATGATAACAAACATTTTTTCTTCAATAAAACTATCATGTTCTTTTTTTTTTCTTTGTTTTTTTTTTTTTTT